CTCCCCTCCCTCATCAAGAGTCCCTCCCCATCTCTCCTGGAGCCCCCTCCTTGAGGGACTGGAAGGGGCTCCAAGGTCTCACTGGAGCTTTTTCTTCTCCAGGCTGAACCCCCCCAACTCTCTCAGCCCCCCCTCCCAGCAGAGGGGCTCCAGCCCTCCCAGCATCTCCGGGGCCTCCTCTGGCCCCATCCAACAGCTCCATGTCCTTCCTGGGCTGAGGACTCCAGAGTTGGACACAGAGTTCAGCAGAGGGGCAAAATCCCCCCCTGACCCTGCTGGCCACACTAATTTCGATGTAGCCAAGGATGTGGGGGGCTTTCTGGGCTGCCAGCCCATGTTGCCAGCTCATGTTGAGCTTCTCATCCACCAACACCCCCAAGTCCTTCTCCTCGGGGCTGCTCTCCAGCCATTCTCCACCCATCCTGTATTTGTGCCTGGGATTGCCATGACCCAGGTGCAGGACCTTGCATTTGGCTTGGTTGAAGTTCATGGGCCCTGGATCGGTACGTCACGTTTTCAAGAGGAAAAACTGGCCAAGGTCACAGCCAGCCTTGATGGCATCAAGGAAAGGTGCCTTCAGAGGAAGGGCTTCTGCGGTGCAGCTGGACCCACCAAACGCTGACCTCTCCTGAGAACCTGAGACCACCAACTGAACGTGAAAAATACCCGAGGGCCTCCCTTAGGACATGTTCCTCGTGTTCCTCAGTCCCAGCCGTGGTGTTCACCTCTTTCTTTTCCATGGAGCTGGACACACGACCCACCAAGACCAGAGCCGAGGGTGCTTACCCACCTGCGCTTCCCACCTCCCCATCCCAGAACCTGAACCCACCACGGTGAACCAGAGAGGGTGAGAAAATGGGGATGGGCTGAATTTGCAAAGAAAAAGAAGCAGAGAGCGAAGAAGCATGGAGTAAAGAAAGACCTGGTGGTGGTGGAGGAAGAGGGGAGCGGGCAGGAGGGGGATAATGGAATCTTTCCCCAGCTCTGGAGCCGGTGGATGGTCTCTCCTGGTGCCTACACAAGGACTGGAGGAAAGCTCAGGAGGGGCTTGAGGGCATCTAACACTAAAGCAGGGCTTGGTCTACCAGCCCCATCCACCTCCTCCACTCCAAGAGCACCCATAGGTGTGGGGCTATACATTATATACCAGGTGGGTGGCACGGGCAGGGGCTTAGGAACAGCCCCTACGATGCCAACCCAACGGTAATTCCTTCCCTTCCACCCCCTCAGAGCTGAGGGTCACTCTGGGTGACTGAGACTTCTGCTTTCACTGTGGCTGCCACCCCCAGTACCCACTGGAAAAAGGGCCACCAGCACTGGGATGAGGTCCCTACGCTCCCATCTCCACCGGGTTTCCCCACCTTGAAGCAGGCACCGGCAGCAGAAACCTCTGTGCACACAGCGTCCTCCAGCCCCTCTCCCCATCCCCAAAACCTCCCCCCAAGGGACACCCGGTCCCCTCAAAACAAAAAAACAAACACCCCCAAACATCAGCCCTGGAAATCAGAACAGCTCTGACCTTATTTGCACCGGATCCTCTGAAGCCAATTGCAAAAGAGAAGCAAAGAGTGAGGAGGTGAGGAAAGCCGCTCGCCGGCCACGCGCTGGCCTTGCCTGGAGAGAAGGTCCCTACCAGGGCAACCCCCAGCAGAACCGACACACCCCCCAGAGCCTTTTTCTGGGGAAAAACAGCTTGTTTGAGATGATTTCTTGCCAACGTTGGCATCTGCTGGATGCGAGGGAGGACTTAAAGTGATCCAGCAGCCCAGGGTGCCCCAGGTCCCGCTCTCCTCCTACTGAGGGAGCCAGGAATTATTTTTTTTTGGGGGGGTGTCCGTTTTCCTCCTTGGCCAGAATTCCCTGGAAAGGCTTTTCTCAGCCTGGGCTTCCCTCAGGGAGGCTGTGGAGCTGGAGGGGGGTGTGTAAAGACCTCTGAGGCTGGTTGTGTAAAAGAGAAAGAGCAAACACGTTGGCTCCTGCTACGGCTTAGAGATGCAGCTGAGCAGCATCTGCTAACCACGCAGTTCCACCAAAAAAAAAAAAAAACCAACAAAAACAAACCAAAATTAAAAGCAACAACAAAGTTAAGAGCACATTTGGGCACCCGCTGCTTCATTTCTGTCTCCTGGAATGAACAGAGAATGGATGAACATGGATTTTGGAGCCGCCCGCTATTGCGCAGCTGAAGCAAATCTCTCTTGGGTGGGAAGTTCTTACTCTGCAAAACTCCATCCTTAAACCAATTATCCCTCATCCTTAAATCAATTATCCCCCGTCAGCCGCCGGAACAGGGAGAAAACAGTCCTGCTTTCCACCTAATTGGGTTCTGACAAACTCCTCAGTGCCCCTGGGGAATGAGGAGGAGACCTCAGTCATTCTCTCCTAATGACCTCCCAGCACCATCAGCACCTTTTCTAATTGGCATCCCAAAGTCACCCCTCTCAGGGGAGTCTGCAGGGCTGGGGACACTAATCTGGTCAGCAATTAAGCGTATCACAGGCCTCAGCTGGGGGAAAAAAAAATATAAAACCATGTTTATACAGCTATTTTTGAAACGGGACACGAGCCCTCCCAGGACAAACCTCCCTCCACAGAGACAGGGAGGTCGATGGCAAACGGGGACTGGGGGATGTCACCAGGACTTGTCCCCAGGACTTGTCCCCAGCTTTTATCAGGACAGCTGCAGCTGAATGCAAATTGGCAGTAATTAATTTATATTTTAATTATACTGCTTCTCGTAATCCCCCAAACAAACATTACCAAATTAAACCGAGATGTTGCTCTTTAATTGCCCGTGATTTTCCCCCTCTCCAGATATTTCGGGATCCAGGACCTGCCTGGAGCTGCCTGGGCAGCCCGGCTTTTGGGCAGGAAAAGTCAGGAAGGGGCTGGGACATCCCAAAGAAAGACCTGGTGTGTAAACGATGGCAGGGGAGAACCTACACCAAAGGGCAGAGATACCTACAGCCAAAGGAATAACAACCCAACGGAGCTGTGGTGACCTGGAATGTTCTCCTGCTGGGATAAATAAACATGGAAGGACATTGCCCCTGAGGACTTCCTCACCCAGAGACTTCCAGCCTTTTCCCAGGAGCCCGATCCCTAAAGCTGGGGATAAGGAGGCTATTTTTAATTGTACCAAGGAGAAAAGGCAGAACAGTAATGAAACGGCTTGGCCACGGTGACGGGGCAGGAGGAGAGGACCCCCTGAAGGCCCATCACAGCCCTTCCAGCATCCAACACCTCGGCACTCGGCCCCTGAAAAGGCCCTGAACTGAGCCCACCCCAAACCACACGTCACATTTGCTCCCCCGATTAAAAAATCCATTTTTAAATCAGGGACCTGAATGGACACAGGTTCCACCAACGCCCTGGAGCTGGTTGAGGGGGTCTGGAGCCCCACAAGCCACACATGGGGTGAGGACCTCCAACGGCTGCTGCCCGTGGAGCTGACTCAGAAGAAAGCCACCCGGGGCCACCCGAGGAACACCATCTTCTGCTTGGGCTACAGAGTGTTTCTGAGCTGGGGGCGGCTGCTGGAGAGCCACTGGCAGCACCCCAGTTAGACCAGAGAGGGTTCCTGCTTCTGTGGTTGCCCAACGCCAGCGCGGTGACTGGGGAGAGGTCAGGGATGTAGGGATGTGGATGATAAACAGCTCCTTGGGTCCTATCGTACACAATTCTCCAAAGAGTTAACGCTGGAAAGGACCAAGTTAAAGCCAGTGACCCAGCAACAAGACACTCCAGCTCCTTCCTCTTCTCATCATTCAGACATTCCTGAGCCAAACCGCGCACACCCGTCACCCCCTACGGAAACAGAGGCCGCTCTGAAACGCCAAATTCCTAATTCCTGCTTTTTTGCCACCTCCAAAAACCAGCACAAACGCCAAAACTCAACCTACCCCTTGTGTTCCCTTTGCAATTCGCTTGCGAAGACCCCAAACGAGTCAAGGCTTCAAATAAGGTCAGCGTTTGTTTGATGAGTTGTGCTACCTCCGATCTCCTGGGGACACCACCCCAGCGAGAGATGGACTCATCCAGCAGCAACCAAGTGCCCAAGAACTCTCATTTGCTGAGCTACAATTAAACAACAGCACCTCAGAATCACAGAATGATATAGGGTTGGAGGGGACCTCTGGAGATCATCTAGTCCAACCCCCTGCCAGAGCAGGTCCACCCAGAGCAGGTTGCACAGGAACATGTCCAGGTGGGTTTGAGTGTCTCCAAAGGAGACTCCACCACCTCTCTGGGCAGCCCCTTCCAGGGCTCTTGCCACCCTCAAAGTCAAGAAGTTCCTCCTCATGTTTAGGTGGAACTTCTTACATTCAAATTTGTGCCCATTATCTCTTGTCCTGTCACTGGGCACCACTGGAAAAAGACTGGCCCCATCCTCTTGGTAACCCCCAAAACTCCTTGGTTTATGCACCCACGGAGTTGGCAGAAATGGGAATGGGGGACCACGGAGTGCTCCTCAGAGGGTCCACTGGGACGGGACAGCGGGTGAGGAAACAAAACGGTGGGTAAATAAGGAAAGAAAGGCCCAAAAGGAAAGGAGCAGGAGGGATCTAGGAGAGAGAGCACCCCAGCAAGCGTCAGCTCTGAGCCCCGGCAGGCGGGAGGGAGCTAGAAAAGAAAGAGCAATATACCCAAAGCTCTCAGTGCGACAGCGAACTCCAGAGGTGACATCAGGAGGGGGCAGGTCGGGGATGGAGTCCATCTGGAGGAAATAAGAGGAGGTGGTGTGATGGTAACAGAGAGGGTGGACATGGCAAGCAGGAGCAGATGCAGCGGTGGTGGCTGAGGAGCAAGAGGTGGAAGAGGTGGTGGTGGTGGTGGTGGTGGTGGCCACGGCGGCAGATGATGGGTTGGTGCCAGGAAGGTCAGAACTGAAAGACTGTCCGGAGGAGTGGCTGTGCATTCGACGGAGAGAGACTCTGCCCGCCCGGTAATGGCCAGCTTGGCCCGACTCATTCTGGCCTTGCACGTAACTCTCTACCAACCTCTGGGATCCATGGCCGTGTTGAGGGTCCACCAGGCGCTGGCGAACTGTGCTGGGCAAGGCAGGAGCTGTAGGGAGAGAAAAGGGAGAAGGCTTGAAGGCAACTGGGAAAGAGACTTCACCCCCAGAGCAGCCAGGAGGCACCGCCATGAAAGCTGCCACCCATGGCCAGCCCCACCACCAACCAAGGTGGCACCTTCTGCCACCGCGGCCACCCCACCTCGTGCCATCGGTTACGCTGGTTTTAAGGCAGAAGAAGCATTAGGCTGGTGCTGCTGCTCAACATGCTGGATTAATGCCCAGCCCATGAGAAATGACTGTTGGATGTTCCTGATGGAGGTGCTTTCTGAACACTTTATCTGATCATCTCGCCTGGGGCAGAGACCGTGATCCACCCTCCCCACCCAGGCTCCCTTTGTAGAAAAGGTAAAAGAATTCGGTACTTTTAGGGCATGATTCACCCCACCCTAAGGCAGACACCCAAATTGTGTAGACACCTCCTGCTCTGGCACTTCTATCTCCCTGCATGACCTCAAAATGGACCCTCCAGTGACCAGGAGGCACCTGAAGCTGGTGAGATGAGCTCCCGCTCCCAACATTGCTCCTGCAGCAGGAACGTGGGACCGAGGGCAGGGCTGTGGAGCAGAGCTCTGCTTTGGGTTCAGGAGCAGGAAAGCTTCTGAGGATGGAGAACCCTCCCCACTTGGACCTTCTGCAGGGCTGAATGGCTGGGCCACATGGCAGATGGAGAGTAATTATGGCATTAAATGGGCAGGAACATGCTTTTGTCCTCAATCCACGCCTGAATCATAGAATCCTGGGATGGTTTGGGTGGGAAGGGACCTTAAAGACCATCCGGTTCCATCCAGGGACACTTCTAACCAAACCAGGTTGCTCCAAGCCCCCTCCAATCTGGGAGGGATGGGGCAGCCACAGCTTCTTGGGGCAACCTGGACCAGGCTCTCACCACCCTCACACCAAAGAAGTTCTTCCCCACATCTCATCTCCATCTCCCCTCTTTCAGGGTCAAACCTTTCCCCCTCCCTCCATGGCTTCCCTCCCTCACCAGGAGTCCCTCCCCAGCTCTCCTGTAGAAATTGAAGCTCTGCTCCAAAAGCTCCTCTATTCCCAAATCCGTTTGATGATTCACTCGCTGATCAAAGAGATGCTCCATTGGAAAAATATTGTTCTCTAATTGCAAATCCCTCCTGGTTCAGAGAAACAAATCATGCTGCCTCCATCTGTGCCCTGTCACCAGCTCATTAACACCTTCTGGAGATCCTTAATGATCTTTCTGGCCAGGAACTCTTACCCAGAAGGTGACAGAGGCTGGAGAGCTGAGCCCGCTCCCTCTGCCCCACACCTACACCACCTCTGCCCCACACCTACGCTCCCTCTGCCCCATGGAGCCAGGGGGTCACCAGCAGAGGCTGAGGGAGGCAGCTTCACCCACCCAGGGATTTCTGCACATCCCTTTCCATCATAACCTTGGAAAACCAAGGATCCTGTGGGCGGCGCCACCCGACAGCCAGACCGGTCGTTAATTAATCCCCTGGCTGTAATTTCCATACAAGACTTTCCTTCTCTTGGAGATAAGGTGTTCAGGACTGTTCAGGATTTCTTATACGCACAAGAAACAAGTGTAAAAATGGGTTAAAAAAAGGTGAACAGACAGGAAAGCTAAGAAATGGAGTGGAAGGAGAGCTCCTTCGGGAGTTGAAGAACCAGCGAATCGCTGCTACAAAACCGCACAGCGAGGACAGGGGAGTCTCCTGCAGCTCCTCTGATGGCACCAACCCGGGGCCCGGGAGGAATTTTCCATGGAAGAAGGAAGGATGAAGAGTAACTCGGGCAAACTTTGCCGTTTCCCCATCTCCAGGGTCAATCACGGCTCCTCTCACAGGCTCCCACCGCTCCGTTGGCTGCTCTACCGCGCTGCCCACCTACCAACCTGCACTGGAGCTCTTGGCATCACCCACTTTCTATTTTCCTAAGATAAATAATCCTAAAATTATTTTTCCTCCTTTTCTCCGGAGCTGAAATGAAGTGAAGTCGAGTCACACGGAGTCAAGGTGGGAAAAAAAAATCCCTCCCTCCGGTGGGAACTGCAAAAAATCCGATGGGAGGAGAGTGTTAATGGGCAGAACTGGGGTTAATGATGGGTGTTAATGGGCAGAACTGGGGCTGTCCCAGCTCTCCCCCAGCAGCTGAAGGTGGCAGGGACAGGAACAGCCCAGCTGATCCCTCCTTGCCGGCTGCTGGTGGGGACACAGCTTGGAAGTCCCAGTTTGGGGGGCTGACAAAGATCTGGGCTCTGCAGAATAATTCCCTGGGGGATTAGGGGTTCTGCTACAGGTTTCTTTTTTTCTTGGACCACACTTTTTTCCCCGAAGAGACCTCACCTGGCCCAGCCCTTGCTTCCCACAAATGTCCTTCTTCTCCAGACACCCACACATGTTTCATCAACGTTCTCCAACCAACCTGCTCGTCACCTTGAGGAAGGTGATGGAAGGACTGTCACCCTGACCAAGCACAGCCTGGCCTCCTCCTCCTCATCCTCCTCTTTTTCTTCCTCCTCTTTCTCCTCCTTCTCCTCCTCCTCCTCTTTCTCCATCCCAGGGGGGACGTTGGGCAGCATCTGCCAAGGGAAGGCTTCCACCAGCCCAAAAATGCCATCCCCACCATGTCAGGGCACCGGGGACAGATGAGCACAATCGGTGGCATCGCTCAATTTATTTAAGGACAAAGAGAGATGAAGGGCACAGCAACGGGCTGTGAGTGAAGCCTGTGTGGAGGAGGAGGAGGAGGAAGGACGGGAACGTTATCTCCTCCTCCTGGCATAGCCTCAACCCTTCATCTCCACCTCAGGGGGGAAAACAAGTGAAAAAAAGACCCTCTAGAGTTTGTAACTGGATTTTTTTTAAAAAAAAAAAGCAAAACCCAATATCACGTGAGGGCTACAGCGAACTGTGATTCTTCTTCATCCCACCAGACTCTTCCCAGGGGTTAGTAAAGATGCTGATGACTCGGTGAGGAGAGGAAGGCTCATTAGTCTGCCGTGCCAGAAAGTTGGAAAATCAGTGGATGGATTTTAGTCCAGAAAAAAGGGCAGAGGGTAGAATAAAAAATATATAAATATATATAAAAAAAATTAAAATATAATCGAAGAGAACCAAACCAGGGTATTTCCAGAGGGACTGATCCTCCAAGGACAGAGACGAGCGGTCACTGAACCTGCGCCCGAAAAGCCAGGCCGCGTCTGGGATGGGCCAACCAGGAGTCAACGGGAGAGAGAAAAATGTGATTTACTGGGAGAACCATCACGGGCCGTCGGTCGGCAACATCCCCCACACATCTGGGGAGGAAAAACCCCACACTTCTCTCCTGAGGCAGGTTTTGGACACAGAGAGAGAAAAAACCTACAGCCAAAGGAATAACAACCCAACGGAGCTGTGGTGACCTGGAATGTTCTCCTGCTGGGATAAATAAACATGGAAGGACATTGCCCCTGAGGACTTCCTCACCCAGAGACTTCCAGCCTTTTCCCAGGAGCCCGATCCCTAAAGCTGGGGATAAGGAGGCTATTTTTAATTGTACCAAGGAGAAAAGGCAGAACAGTAATGAAACGGCTTGGCCACGGTGACGGGGCAGGAGGAGAGGACCCCCTGAAGGCCCATCACAGCCCTTCCAGCATCCAACACCTCGGCACTCGGCCCCTGAAAAGGCCCTGAACTGAGCCCACCCCAAACCACACGTCACATTTGCTCCCCCGATTAAAAAATCCATTTTTAAATCAGGGACCTGAATGGACACAGGTTCCACCAACGCCCTGGAGCTGGTTGAGGGGGTCTGGAGCCCCACAAGCCACACATGGGGTGAGGACCTCCAACGGCTGCTGCCCGTGGAGCTGACTCAGAAGAAAGCCACCCGGGGCCACCCGAGGAACACCATCTTCTGCTTGGGCTACAGAGTGTTTCTGAGCTGGGGGCGGCTGCTGGAGAGCCACTGGCAGCACCCCAGTTAGACCAGAGAGGGTTCCTGCTTCTGTGGTTGCCCAACGCCAGCGCGGTGACTGGGGAGAGGTCAGGGATGTAGGGATGTGGATGATAAACAGCTCCTTGGGTCCTATCGTACACAATTCTCCAAAGAGTTAACGCTGGAAAGGACCAAGTTAAAGCCAGTGACCCAGCAACAAGACACTCCAGCTCCTTCCTCTTCTCATCATTCAGACATTCCTGAGCCAAACCGCGCACACCCGTCACCCCCTACGGAAACAGAGGCCGCTCTGAAACGCCAAATTCCTAATTCCTGCTTTTTTGCCACCTCCAAAAACCAGCACAAACGCCAAAACTCAACCTACCCCTTGTGTTCCCTTTGCAATTCGCTTGCGAAGACCCCAAACGAGTCAAGGCTTCAAATAAGGTCAGCGTTTGTTTGATGAGTTGTGCTACCTCCGATCTCCTGGGGACACCACCCCAGCGAGAGATGGACTCATCCAGCAGCAACCAAGTGCCCAAGAACTCTCATTTGCTGAGCTACAATTAAACAACAGCACCTCAGAATCACAGAATGATATAGGGTTGGAGGGGACCTCTGGAGATCATCTAGTCCAACCCCCTGCCAGAGCAGGTCCACCCAGAGCAGGTTGCACAGGAACATGTCCAGGTGGGTTTGAGTGTCTCCAAAGGAGACTCCACCACCTCTCTGGGCAGCCCCTTCCAGGGCTCTTGCCACCCTCAAAGTCAAGAAGTTCCTCCTCATGTTTAGGTGGAACTTCTTACATTCAAATTTGTGCCCATTATCTCTTGTCCTGTCACTGGGCACCACTGGAAAAAGACTGGCCCCATCCTCTTGGTAACCCCCAAAACTCCTTGGTTTATGCACCCACGGAGTTGGCAGAAATGGGAATGGGGGACCACGGAGTGCTCCTCAGAGGGTCCACTGGGACGGGACAGCGGGTGAGGAAACAAAACGGTGGGTAAATAAGGAAAGAAAGGCCCAAAAGGAAAGGAGCAGGAGGGATCTAGGAGAGAGAGCACCCCAGCAAGCGTCAGCTCTGAGCCCCGGC